GCTCCCTCTCTGATGGCTGCTAGGATGTTTTATTCTGCACACTAGATTTCCCCTGTAAGACATTAAGATGTTCAGATGTTAGTTTGTGTACACACTGCTTTCATTTTGCATTTTGAAATTGACACCCTATTATATGAAGTTTGAAACTTTGAAAGTTCGATGTTTCTGCAAGGTTCTTATGTAATTCTTGATCCCCAGAGCAACAAAGGCACACTGATCGACATGAAGCTTGAGAAACACAAGAACTTGAGAGAGGAATCAGCATTTTTCTGGACACAGATTGAGGATGGAACTCTCAAATTTGATAGGACAGAATCTGAGGTATGCTAGTTGTAAATGTAATATGATGAGTTTCAGCTTCTTTTAGGAAGGTGCCCCAATTAGAACTTGGAACACTTGCATGAACTTGCAGGTGGTCCAGAAACTTGGAACCTCAAGATGGTCACTTGGACCAGTTGTAATTTTTCTTAAATTACTATTTAATCCCAATCTTATGCTTAAACTAGCAAACAAGCAAGTGTATTTTAATAAAGGGAACATATAGCATGCTCCCCTAGGAGCATACTGTACAACAACCTCATCAAGGAAAATAGATACCTAGGAAGATTTTTTGATCCAAAATTTTGGGATCCATCTAAGCATCACTCGATTATTATTTTGAAGAAAAAAAAAAATAGATTTTGAGCTCTTCTACATAGATATTTCCCAGCAAATATTGGAAAGTTGTCCAATCTTGGGATGCCAATTTTTTTTTTTAGGTGCACAGAGAGTGTGAATTAATTTTATTTTATTTCCCTTGAGGTCGTCACTGGTTTAGAGATTACATTCCAAAAATTTGGGATCCACAAAATATTCCTCACTTGAGTTTTTGCCCGAGGAACAAGTGGACAGTATGCTCCAAGAGGAGCATGAAATCTTTTCACTTAAAACATGCATTGAATATGCAGAATATGCATTTAACATTGTTCTCCCCTTTTATATATTTTGAATACCATATAAAGATCTGGGGGTAAGTTGTCATTTGAAATAGATTGCACTTCATGTATTTTGCTAATTTATAACGAACTATGTAAAGAAGGGTGCAGTTTGTATAGAGCCTAGGCTCTAAACAATCAAATTTGAGCATACCTTCAAGTGGTGTTAAGAAATGTGGTTTCAATACTGGAGATCTTTGTGATAGCCTTAACTATATTTTTTATCTTTATTTATAAAGTTTAAAGCTCCAAAAATAGTGTAGATCGATAGATATATGAAAACTTGAAAATCTTGAAAATTGAAGGTCCAAAAATATGTTACAAAATACACTATTTAAAAAACTTGAAATTCATTTTTTTCTCATGTTCATGCGTCTTGATGTTGAGATGTTCAATTTGAGGATATTTGGGCATCAAAACAACCTCTTCTAATGAAATTTTGAAGGTAGGCTCTAATTTGATTGTTTAGAGCCTCAGCTCTATATAAACATTTCCCTTTAAAGAATTTTGATTTCTTTGACACAAGTGAGAATCCAAGTATCTAGACCATTTGAATGAAAATATGGAGGTTTTCTTGGTAACGGGCGTTTTCCCTTCTATTCTAAGTTTTTCTAGATGAGTCACTTCCATTGAAGAAAGCAAATATCAAAATTTTGGCATCATCGGTTTTAAGGATGTGGTTTTTATAGAGCCTAGGCTCTAAACAATCAAATTAGATCGTACCTTCAAATAGTGTTGAGAAATGTAGTTTCAACACTAGAAATCTTTGTTATAGCCTTAAAATATATATTATATTTATTTATAAAGTTTAAAGCTTAAAAAATAATGTAAATTGACCGATCTATGAACACTTGAAAATATTTAAAATTGAAGGTCCAAAAATGCGTTACAAAATACACTATTTGCAAAACTTAAAATTTATTTATATTCTCATATCCATGCATCTTGATGTTCAATTTGAAGTATTTGGGCATCAAAACAACATTTTCCAGTAAAAGTTTTGAGAGAGGCTCAAATTTGATTGTTTAGAGCCTCAGCGCTATATAAACTTTTCCCCTGTTTAAACAGGTTGCTGCTCTTAGAGAACTGACAAAGAAGGACGTGATTGAATTTTTCAACAATTATATCAAAATCGGTGCTCCACTGAAGAAGAAGCTGAGTTTGCAGGTTTATGGAGGATTGCATTCTTCAGAGTATGAAGCCGTGAAACGGAATGAAAACAATTGCCATTCAATATGTATTGATGACATTTTGTCATTTAGAGGATCACAGCCTCTATATGGTTCTTATGAGGGATCTAATGAAGCTTTGAATGCTATTTGCATTTTCTGGTCTCGAGAAACATATTTACTTTTGCTCCCAAACGACTAATTAATGGCCGTTCCGTCAAGTTATATGAAAATACAGAAATTGATGATTTTCTCCTGGTTCAGCATGGTTGACGCTCTCTATCTCTCTCTCCTTGCGTCCTTTGGCGCCTTTGCACATTGATTTGGATATGATAGGTGCCATATGGTTTGTATTGTGCATGCCACACTTACATAAGCTAGCGAACCGGTGCGGTGCTCACAAGTTGAACTGGGTTGTAGTTCGACCCTTGAAGGGTAACATGTAAAGGTCGAACTGGTGCTCAAGGTGACCTTGGGGGCATCAAATTTCTTCCAATTTAGTTTGATCCTACAGGTATCGAGTTAAGAGATTATTAACTCCTAAAGGGTCGAACCGGGCTATTTTAGGAAATTTTAAAAATTGGCAAAATCAAGGAACTTTGAGTAAAATCATAGTTACTTTCGGACCATTTTTAATTTGGAAAAGGAATGAGATCCTTATGAATTTCACAAAACAAAAATTAAGAGGGGATTTTTCTAAAATGATAATTTAGGGGGACATAAGAATGAATTCCTCACTCTTTTCCGCTAATTTTAGGATGATGATGGCTTTTACTTGAGCATTGTTCCTAAAGATAGCCAGAAATTTGCTGTGGTGGCTTGTCCATTGCCAGGTTAATTTAGGGTAAAAAGAATGGTGTTTACCATGTAAAATGCTTATAGGTTCTAAATTAGCCTTGGTTGACAGATTAAGTTCCACAAAACTAAATAGTCCAGTACTTCTAGGCTCCCAAAATTAGAGTTGTCTTGCCATGATCGATCATGAGTTTCTTATTATTTGGAGTTCGAAGAACACACTTTGAATACAACCATGCATACAAATACAAATATGATATAAACATAGGTGCACAACATTTAGAAGCCCTCGGAAAAGGCATCAGGAGCTAATGGGTCGTTTGGGTTCTTGGATATACAAATCTTAGAATTGTCTCAATACTTGGTTTTGCATATTCTATTCTCTTGTAATACATGACAAATAAAAAAAAAAATGAATAAGTTATCAATAATATAACAAATAAATTAGACGGTTTGGATCATATATTCAATATTTTATAGGTCAAAGTATGATTCTCTCCCTCTCTACGTACATGACCCATGATAAGTTATTCTAAGATTGCATCATATTGAAAACACTACATCTCATTAGATAATGAAGAAGTTAAAACGTTACAAAAGCATTAGACGGTTATAATCATATTTTCTTAACTTTTTATAGGTTGAATTATGTTTATCTCTCTCTTCCCCTACACCTATACAACCCACAATAAGTTGTTCCCAAATTGCATCATATTCATAACATTGCATCTCAGTAGATAATGAAAAAGTTTAATACAAAATTCCCATGAAATCCAAAATTACACTTCGCATAGCTCATGATTTTACGCTTATCATAATAAAATTAAACTGTTCCATAGGCTGCACTGTGCCATGTCCTTAACGATAACTTGATCCATGAGCTGCTTAAGAAGTAAAACAAGGCCGAACGACTTCCCTTCAGCTCCATTAGCTTATGAACATTCAATAGTTTTCCTAATATGTGAGTTTTTTAAAGTAAAACTTACACCCATATTTAAAATTACCTGAACATATTCCTCCCAACTAAGATCAATTGTTCTCTTATCTTCATCAAACTGATAACCACGCTGATGAAGGAGTTGTTAACATTGCTATAAGTATATCTCAAACATTCAACTCTTTTTTCTAGCCTCTCTATGCAAAATTCGGGTCCATACTCCTCACATTATCTACTAAGATGTAGTGTTATGCAGGTCCCAAACGACCCATAAGATTCGAGTGCCTGGTGCTGGGTCCAATGCACTTTTCACCATGGGCGAAACTCAAGATGAAAGAGAGAATTTCAAGTAACTAGGCATCAGGCTTGGAAAAAAAAAAAAAGGAATTTCAAGCAACGAAAAATTCACCATTAAGAATAAACACAAAAAGGACCTCATTACAGTTTTATACAATTTCCAAACTTCAACATTCTCAGACCTAAGAAACATATCACTTTTTTCAAATTATAAAATCTCATTACAGTCTTATACAATTTCCAAACTCCAACATTCTTCAATAATTAAGTAAAGATCAAATAAATGAGAGTATTGAGGAATCAATCTTGGGTACTTATTCGTGGGGCTTCCGGGCCACAAAGAAATAATGTGGTGTGAAGATCTCCTTCCTGATAAAAAAAAAACCAGATTATGCTTAGCTGACAAAATCATTGATTATTAAATGGGAAATTATAATGTCTTGCGGTTGGGTCGCTAAAATTAGTGATCTGGCCACCTGAAAAACCACATTTCAGGAATAGAAACCAGAAATATTTTCTATACATTCTCTCCCACCTCTAATAGATGGGTGCAGTTTCTACAAGGTCGCAACCTTAAACAATCCAAATAAGGTGCGTACCTCCAAATTTTATTATAACATGCAATTTTAGTGTAAAATATTTTTAAGATTATCTCAAAATCTACTTTCGTAGTTAATTATAAAATTTTAACTCTAAAAAAGGTTAAAATCAAGTAGATCTATAGATATTATGAAAATCTAGAAAATAGACCGTCTAGATAAACTGTTGAAAGATGCACTATTTTTGAGACTCAAAATCTTCTTCTTTTGTCATATTCATGCATCTCGATATCAAGATAATCAATTAGAAGGTTCTTGCCTATTAAAACAACTTTTTCCGATGGATTTTTGAGGTGGATCTTTAATTCTACATTTTATGGCCGCAATCTTATATAGATTTTTTTGTTGAAGTTACAGGCTGCAACCTTATATTAACTTTTTCCCTAATGGATTGATGAAATATTTGGAGCCGCACAAATGCCTCAAAACCTACTGTGGTTTTAATATTAAATATGGACCGTTCAATTCAATAGATCAATGGATGTGGAGGTTTTTTGGTGCTTAAAATCAACTGACTCGAATATGGGTTGTGAAACAAGTTTGGGTACCCTGGTCTTTCAGATGTGTTGAGCACCATTTTTGGCGGGCCCGCCAGAACACGCTTAACCTCTCCAGAACCTAAAAGATTTTATACTCCTGCAGGAGCGTATTATCCATTTACTCCCTTGGGCAATGACTACAGAAGTAATTTTAGCACACCTAGTTTTGAGAAGGTGGCTTCTACAATATATACACTAATCTCAATAAAAAAAAAAAGATCACAAAACTCCCTAAATACTAGCAGGAAAAAAAAAACTCAAGATTTAACATAGGTCGTCCATTTTTTGAAGGGCAAGATCTAAGTGTTTGAAACTCAAAAGTCATATAATCATGCTAATTTTGTTCCCAAAATTTAAGACGGAAGAAATCCTCCTAAATAGATCTTTTGAGTGATGGAGTAGATGCACAGTAATACTCCCGTGGGAGTATAGGATACGGTCGAGAACAGATATCATGGTTAGAAGATTTAAGGGGTATTTAGTCAAGTTAAATTGAGAAATCATGGTTGGAAGAATATGGGAATTTGAATGCTACTTACTTTCCACCTTCAACAAGCCCTTTTGCTGCTGTCTCCAAGAAGGATGACACTTTGTGACTTCCTTCAGGTGCAATATGGATATACTCTAGAAATTTCACCTAAATCACGCCCAAGTTTGTTACTTATTAATTGCTGAATAGGCAAGGACTTCAACAACCACGCACTGTGAAGCTTAAAATTTAGTCTATAACATGCAACACTAATGGATTCTGCCATGCAAAATATAATCATTAATTGCAAGTACAAACCTATGATTTATCTAAGAATTGCTTGTTTTAAATTTTAAAATGGGGTGTAGATTGTAATTTGGAAATCCATAGAAATATTTTTAAAAAGTCGAAAGTTTGATACTGTCTGAATCTTCTGAAAAAGGAAAAGGTATACTTTAAAAGAAAAGGATAAACAGTATATAGTATTTCTCTTCTTCATCAATTTAAAAGGCTAACCACATAAAAAAAAAAGTATATAGTTTTTTGAGCCAAAAAAAAAAAAACAGTATATACTATAGTACCGGTTTGATTCCAGCAAAAAACAAAAAATCTATAAAGATATAAAAATGTCCAAAATCGGCGGGCATCGTTCCTCCACTCAAAGCCTGTCAAAAATTTCAATAGACTTTTGAATAAGAGGAATGATGCCGCCTCCCCAACCATCTATAGTTCACATCTGGCAAAAGGAGTTTGTTACTATTTAATTGTTGAATATACAAGGAACTTCAACAACCAAGCACTGCAAAAAGATAAATTTATTCTAACATGCAATACTCTAATGGACTCTACCATGCAAAATTTAATCATAAATACAAGTACAAGCTTAATAGTTACTTAACAATGGCTTTTTTAATAATATTAAATAAGGTATGCATTGTAATTTAGAAATCCACAAAAAACCTCTTTAAAATTTCATAGTTTGATATTATGGGAAAGAATCTTCTGAAAAAGGGAAAAGGACACTATAATACCAATAATTTCCTGCAAAACAAAAAAGGAAAAAAAAAACCATTATATCCATGCATGAGATAAACAAGTGCTATAGTATTAATTATGAGTGCTCCTACATCTACAACCAAAGTCCCTTGAAATTATTTGAAAGAGCTCTTATTAAGGTAATTTTCCCATTGTGAAAAGTCGAAGTTAAGCCATCAGCCTAAGCAATAAAAAGCATAAAGAGTGATGCATTTGCATACGTGCGCATGTGTTCGCGAGACAATGTGAGGGAGAGGGGCTTGTAAGCATATTTTAATCTGAGAGAGGACTGGTAATCTCCAACAAAATTTGAATTTTCAGTCATTTTTGGAGGGAATTTATTAATATTTCATTTTCACATACCAAGTACTGCGTGATAAATCGGCCGGGTGCGGCTGCACGAAAGCTGCTGAACGAAAAGGGACTATTGTCCAAGGGCAGGTACCAAGGTACAGGTGAACCAGCTGCCACATCCTTCTGCCACAAAACCTTAAAAATAGAAGCACCCATCAAAACAATATCATTTGCTTTGCAATCTGGATAAAAGAATTATTGGGGCTTAAAGATTAACAAAAACAAAAAGAC